CCAAATTCTTTATCAGGACCTACCAGGCCAGCAAGATCGAGCCTCTGATGGCCTCTCTTAGATTATACCATGACCCCCACACCCTGCAACCCCCCGTGCTGGTTCATGGAGCTCTCAGATCCTCAGAAACATCCCTCTCTCTCCTGCCTCTGGGATTTTACACATTCAGTGTCTTGGCTTGATAATATCCTCTGTCCACTCTTTATGTCTGACTTCTTTTCATCCTGGCAGTTTTAGCTTAGTGCCACCTCCCCACTCTATTTAAGGTAGGTCTGCCCCCATTCTCTCAGTATCCTTTTCTACCATATCATAACTGTTACCAAACATCCAGGTGCTCAGGAAGGTTATATAATCTGCAGAGTTCACGTATCAACCACTTCAACTGCTGACGAAGCTACAAAACACATTTCAGTAAATAAGCATGTTAAAGAGCCCTTAGAAGACATCAATAATGTTGACTACTGTAATCAATCCAGTAGGAAATAAAAATGTTTGTTATTGCCCAACTGCAGCTTACAGTTTAAAAAAAATACTCTTCAAAATATTTTCAGGAGCCTCTAGTTTAAGAAAGTTACTATGGCTTGGGGTACAATCACTACAACTGATACCTAGCAGAATGACAACAGTAAAGGCTGAGGAAGAAGTTCCAGACGTTGTCCAATTTCTGATTGCTACCTTGTTTTCTTAGAAACTTACAACTTCAGACAAGAGAACATTAATGCATTAATGAGGCTACCAAAAAAAAAAAAAAAAAAAGAAAAAGAAAAAGCCACATAGGCAGTGTTGTCACACATGGATTATAAAATTATATATTCCAGTCATAGTCAGTTAAAAGTACATAAGCAAATGTGATCTAGCAGACAGCCTGGGAATCTAGGGGACCTTGGATATCGTATCTAATTCCCTGAGTTTGAGTCTTGCCATCTGTAAAACAAAGAAATGAAAACTTTCCCAGAACAGTTAAGATTAAATGAAACCTGTGGAAACACTGGATACTTTGTAGGCTTTTAAGTGTCTGTCTAAAAAATAATAATTCACTAGGAAATTGCAAAGAATAACTGTAAATTTCCATGTTTAAGTCCAAATTGTGTTGTAAGCATATTTACTTTAAGCAAGCAAGCAAGGTAAACTATGTGCACAAGCGTGATTTTTGTTGTTTAAAATGATTTTCAATGTATAAGGTGACTCAAATGGGATCTAATAAGGCACCTCACTTTACTTGGTCAGGAACAATTTCCTGGGTGTCTGACCAAGAAAAGAGATGAAGAGAAAGAAGTAGGTTTACAAAGGACAAAAAAGGAAGACACAGGATTAGAATGGGTTAACAAAGCAAAAAATAAACCTTCCCAAAGTGAGCAATGAAGCAAGTGGAAATAAGGAAGGTTGAACAGTAGATTAGGATCCACCAAAAATCCTCATGCTTAAAGGAAGCCGAGCCCCATTTGTTATACACTCAATACGCTCTGTTTGTGCTAACTACATAAAGAAGATGAGGCGGGGCAATCTGGACACAGACCTGGACACTCTGACCTCTGGCACAGAAGGGGGCTACAGGAGTGCTGGGGGAGAAAGGCAGCAGGGTAGTGGAGTCATACCAAGCAACAAGAAAGATAAGGTAGTACATTTTCCACAAATTTCAATTTTACTCCCTTCCCTCATGACACACACACAAAAAGGATGGGAGGAAGAAACTGAGATCACAGGGAAAATAGTAAGAGACATTCAAAAGGGCAGGTCTTAGAAACTTACTAGTTTGGGGAGGTCAGAGAACAGTAGCATATAAAAGAACGCTAAGACAGTTCCCAGGTTTAGGCATGGGAGACTAGTTTGATTATTTCATCTTGTCCCACTCACAATGACAAGGAGAATTATTGAGGGAACACATGATGGGGCTGATAGAGTGCTAGGAGGTGGATACATGAAAATGTAATTGTCATCATTTTGAACAGCCATGTCACTCCAAGTAAGATTCCCTAACATATATGATATACAGACAGATATATGAGTTTGAAACTCTGGAGATGAATGCGAATTTAGGAATCCCTGGAACACAGGTCATGACTTCAGTAATGGGAGTCAAAGATTACTCAGAGAAAGCACAGAATGAGAAGAGAAGAAAGAAGTAGGCCAAGGAAGAAGAGATCAGAGGAGACCAAGGCAGGGTGATAAGATCAAAACAGAAGAAAGGAATCTGATGGAGGTCCCATTAGATTATCATGTCCCTTCCCAGAGGACAGGGACATGCCTTTTTTTGTCTCTTATACCCAATTATCACAGGGCCTGGCACAGAAGCCACTTAATGTTTTTTTTAATTGTGTTCTACTATTCACAGTTTGCTGTATCCACCAGGTGAGAAAAAAGTAAGTATAAATAAGCACAGATACGGATTTTTTAATACTGTATATTAAAGGGGCCAGATTATACACAATATTTTATGCCTTACTTTTTTACTTAATATATCTTAGAAGTTTGCACATGCTTATGGAAGGACTGGCTGCATTTCTTTTGATCTACAACAGAATATTCTATTATAAAACTGCACACTATAATTTTTATTTAACCAACTCTTTATTGGTGGACATTAAGAATGGAGGAATGTTTCAACAACGGAACCATCAACAGTATCAAAATACTGCAGAGGGGTCAATTTGGGGACTAAGAGAGGAGCCACTAGATATGGCAACTAGGAGATAAATTTTAGTGCAATGATGAGGGCAAAATCCAGATTACAATGAATTCAGTGAAAAAAGGTGAAGACATGTAGCTTATTCTCTCAATAAACTAGGCTATGATAAACTGGCAAAGGCTGTAAGAGTGGGAGGTGAGTCGTTTCCTCCTTCGTGTAAATATATTTACTTTTAAAAACACTAGGCCCAATTTTATATCCTACTTCATTTAACTTTATGAACATGTTTATGTAATGTTTTAGACAGTGAAAAATAACTCATTTCTGCTATTATAAAACTGTTATCTTTAGATGTTCACAAGCAACTTCCTAAAAGGAGGTAGCAGTAATGGAGCTATGTCTATTATTCTTTCCCATCAACCCCCTTTCTGGAGATGTAAACATGTGTCTATCTAGCTTTTAATTAATTTTTACCTCTTATCTTCATGGCTCTCCATATAAACCTTAACCCTTTTTTCGTATATGTATATGTATATGTATATGTATATGTATATGTATATGTATATCTAGAGAGAGAGAGAGAGAGAAGAGGGGGTCTTGCCATGTTGCCCAGGCTGATCTCAAACTCCTGGGCTCAAGCACTCCTTTCACCTTGGCCTCGCAAAGTACTGGGATTATAGGGGTGAACCACTGTGCCCAGCCTCAGCCTTAACTCTTAAAATATCTTCAAACCCATGTTCTTCAGTTCTTATTTTTAAGAAATTTGTGTTTAAACCAACTATAATTTATTTTGACAAAAATTGGAGTTAAGACTCAAACTTCCTCAAATGGTCAGCTCTCCTAAGACTATTTACAGAATAATCTATCTTTTCCCTATTAAGTTAAAATACCATCTTTATCTTATACTAAATTATCATTAGCATGACTCTGGTTCTAAACTTCCATTGGCTTTATCTGTCTGGCCCAGGGCTATTCCACAATATTTTATTTAATATCTGGTTGAACAAATCTATTCTTTATTATTTTTTATTACTTACTCTTCTAAACAAACTTTAGCATCATTTTGTCAAGTTCCAAAAATAAATCTACAGGTTTTTTTTTTTTTTTTTTTTTTTGAGACAGGGTCTCATTCTGTCACCTACGCTGGAGTTCAGAGGCATGATCTCGGCTCACCGCAATCTCTGCCTCCCAGGCTCAAGTGATCCTCCCACCTCAGCCTCCTGAGTAGTTGGGACTACAAGTGTGTACCACCACACCTAGCTAATTGTCATCTACCTGCCTCAGCTTCCCAAACTTTTGGGATTACTAGTGTGAGACACTGTGCCCGGCAGAAATTACATTTATAAATTAATATGAAGACATGGTGATAACTAACATATTTATAATATGAAATCTACTCATCCAGGGACATAGAATGCAAATCTTTCATTCCACTCAGCAAAATTTTGTCATGTTCTTGATAAAAGTCCTGCACATGTAAGTTTATTCCTAGCTATTTAATTTTTGCTGAAATACTTGAAAAAATACTTTACCACTATATCTCCTATGTGATTATAGCTAATATTGGGGAAGGCTATTGGTTTTTATATAACAGAGCTTTTAACTAGCAATCTTAAAAATTGGTTTTTTTTTTTCGGTTGGTTCCTTTGGATATTTTTAGGTAAACAATCATGTCAACTTAAAATAATGATTGTTAGTTTTCTATAAAGATTATGACATCATAGGAAAATACAGTAAATGCTTTTTATTTTTTTAATTTTTAATTTTTTTAGAGATGGAGTCTTGCTCTGTCGCCCAGGCTGGAGTGCAATGGCATGATCTCGGCTTACTGCAAGCTCTGTCTCCCAGGTTCACACCATTCTCCTGTCTCAGTCTCCTGAGTAGCTGGGACTACAGGTGCGCCTGCCACCATGCCTGGCTAATTTTTGTATTTTTAGTAGAGATGGGGTTTCATCGTGTTAGCCAGGATGGTCTCGATCTCCTGACCTCATGATCTGCTTGCCTCGGCCTCCCAAAGTGCTGGGATTACAGGCGTGAGCCACCACGCCTGGCCTAGTAAATGCTTTTTAAAAGAATATAAAACTATAGAGAATACGACCTCAATTATTTAAACATATGTATAAGGGTTTTGTATTTTACTAGCAAAGAAAAAATATATAAGGGTAGAAAATAGCCATCATGTCAACAGTGATTATATTAGGTAGAAAAATTATGAGAGACTTTATTTTTTTTCTTTTCTTTTCTATATTTTACAATAGATTGCTTATGAGTTTTATATGCTTATGGTTGCTTATGAGTTTTATAATAAAGGTTTTTAAAATTTTTGCAACATGGTAAGTTATACTTCTTTATATACTAAAAACAAAAACAAAACTTTCTATTTGAATACCTTTGACTTTTATTGCAGACTTACAGACCCTTGAAAGAAAAGGCAATTCCCTCATACTAGTTCTGGTGTGACTCTACCCATCTCTCCCTTCACTTCTACCTTGGTCTTTTTTCCACCTCCCACTTTGGCTAGTCGTCTCTACTCAAAATGCTTGCTTGGCTTAATGGTTAGAATTCAGGGAAAAAGAGACCTTGAATTCCTAATCTAAACTAAGGTTATACATGAGGGAAATAATAAAGGGAAACTAGGTAGTAAATAAGATTTGAAGGACTTAAAATACCCAGACTTTAATTCCTCTAAGATTATAGTCATTAATCATGCTTTTATATCATATTATCTCTTAACATTTAATTTCTAAATATAATGTTCATGAGGAAAAGAGAAAATAGCTTGGCTTCCTTCCTTACCGAATATTGTTCTTGGTATCTTCTAGGTGTTCCAGAAATGATGTCAGATTTGGCTCATCAGAGTCCACAAACCATATTGGTGAAGAAGATGCATAGGATTCCTGTTTAGCACAGAGACACCTTTGTTAAACGTTTACATACAGACTAACCCAAATATGCAATTAAACCACATCACTAAATGGCAAGATGACCATGGATTTAAACAAAATGTATGGGGGAAAAGGCAACACATTAAAACCCATGTGAGGAGCTGGACTTTTGAGACAGCCATTCTTCTTGCATAGCACTGTCTGCTGCTACAGCTCAGAGAAGTCAACAATTTTCTTCAACACTGGTAGGCAGCCTCTAAATGGCCCCGATCACCCTCACCTCCTGCCATTCATACCCTTGTAAAATTCCTGCCCCTGGACCTAGGGACTCACTTCTAACAAAGAGAATGCAGCAAAAGTAATAACATCACTTCTGAGATGAGGCTACAAGGAGACGATTCCTGCCTTGGTCACCCTTCTCCTGCTCTCTCCATTGCTCCCTCCGATGGAAACCAGTTGCCATGTGATGAGCTGCCCTATGGAGAGGCCCACATGGCAAGGTATTGTAAAAGTCCTCTGACCAATAGCCATCTAGAAATGGAGGCCCAGTCCAACAGCCTGTGAGAAAAATCCTGCCAACGTGAGCTTGGAGATGGATTCTCTCCCTATCCTGCCTTGGGATGATCATAGCCACCACCAACACCTTCACTGCCTGGTGAGAGGCCAAGCCAGTAAACCCAAGGTAAACTGCACAGAATCCTGACGCACAGAAACTGTGAGATAATGTTTGTGGTTTTAAGCTGCTAAATTTGTTACAGAGCAATAGATAACTAATTCAAACACCATACAATTATAATATTTTATTCTATCACACAAACCAAGTAATACTAAGAAATGCCATTACTATACATATATTTTTGGAACACAATTACATGTGATTTTTTTAAAAAAAGCTAATGAACTAAGCTTTTACCCACTAACAGACATTTACTCTGTTAATTTGTATTGTTTTCAATTATAAATTGGGGAGAAGCCATTATTATATATTAGCTTCAGAACAACTAGGTTCAAGTCATGGAAAACAATTTTGCACCAACAACTTTAGGAAACACTGCTTTGAAAACTATAATCTGAATTATAGCTGAAGCCACAGAAGCCAAATATTTACCAAAGGTTCTTTTAAGAAAAGCAAGTTGGCCAGGCATGGTGGCTCATGTCTATAATCCCAGCACTTTGGGAGGCCGAGGTGGGTGGATCACGAGGTCAGGTGATCAAGACCATACTGGCCAACATGGTGAAGTCCTGTCTCTACTAAAATTAAAAAAAAAAAAAAATTATCCGGGCATGGTGGTACACACCTGTCATCCCAGCTACTCAGAAGGCTGACACAGGGGAATCGCTTGAACCAGGGAGGCGGAGGTTGCAGTGACCTGAGATTGCACCAGTGCACTCCAGCCTGGTGACGGAGAAAGACCCTGTCCCCCCGCCGAAAAAGAGAAAAAAGAAAAACAAGTTGTGTTGAAGGAGGACATCATTAACAGTATATCTCTTCAATAATGGTTTAGTTTACTATTCTCATTCTTCTCATTCCTCTCTTACTGTGTCCCAAATCTCTTTACAGGCTAAAAGAAACTCTTCAGAATTAATCCTATTCATAAAGAACACCACTTACTGAGTATTGCACTTTCTTCTTCAAATTCTTCAGCATACATTGGGAATACATCCTACGGATCATTTTTATGTGTTTAGTTTTAGGTTATTTATTTATTTTTTGTTTTGGCTAAAGAAACTGTAACTCGATTTAGGACCTCATTCCATTAGGTTAGTATTTGTCTAGTTAAGTTCAGCATAAGCAAAATAAAATACGTGTTGTTGCTCTGGACTAAAACCCCTCAAAACCATATTTTAAAAATTACAAAAAAAAATTAACTGAAATCATGTTTTTAAAAATCTTGCAGATGAAAAGATATGATATAAAGTAGGTTTAAGTACCTATTTCAATGGTTCCCAAAGTGTGGCCCTCAGACGCCCAGGTCCAAACTATTTTAATAGGAATACTAACATGGTGACATTTGCTGTAAGGGTGCAAATACAATAGCAGGTAAAAATGCTGGTACTTTAGCACAAACAAAGGCAGTAACACCAAACTACTAGTAGTCATGGTATTCTTCACTATGCACAGGAAAGGTTTAAAAAGGAAGGGCAGGCCAGGCATGGTGTCTCACGCCTATAATCCCAGCACTTTGGGAGGCTGAGGCAGGTGGATCACCTGAGGTCAGGAGTTTGAGACCAGCCTGGCCAACATAGTGAAACCCTATCTCTAGCTGGACATTGTGAATGTATGCCTGTAGTCCCAGGTACTTGGAAAGCTGAGGCAGGAGGATTGCACCCAGAAGGTTGAGGCTACAGTGAGCTGTGATCATGCTACTGCACTCCAGCCTGGGTGACAGAACAAGGCCCTGTCTCAAAAATAAAAAGAATGTCTATGATGAAGTAGTGAAAATTTTACTACATTTTTATTCTTGAATATGTCTTTTTAATATTTCAAGTGATGAAATTGGAAGTACACAGGAGCATTCCTACAGACTGCCTGAGAAAAAACCCTCGTGTCACTAAGTCGTGAAGTGAATTAAGCACTTTAATGGAATACCATTTTTACTTGAAAGGATGACTGACAAACAATATTATTTCAACGTGGGTTTTTGGGAGACATTTTCTCAAAAAACGAGATTCTGTCATTTCAAGAAAAACAACAGACAGGCCATAATAAAATTCAATAATAAAATTCAAGTTTTTGAACAAAAAATTAGAATTTTAGAAAACTTATATCCACCATAGCTTTCCAAAAGTATTCTGATGAGATTGATGGTGATATTGATGAATGTATTTTGATACTGTATAATCAAATGTATCAACATGTAGAAGATCTTGGTGAACCATTATTTTCTAAATGACCAATGCATGATGTTATAATGTCATGCAAGGGTAAAAGATCCAAAGTTCAAGAAAAACCAAGTTTTGATGGAGTATCAAAAAAGAAGTCTAGGCAACATGGCAAAACCCTGTCTCTACAAAAAGATACACAAAATTAGCCAGGTGTGGTGATACACACCTGTAGTCCCAACTACTCTGGAGGTTGAGGTGGGAGGATCACCTGAGTCCCCGGAGACTGAGGCTGCAGTGAGCTGTGATCACACCACTGCATTCCGACCTGGGAGATTGGACATTGTTCACATTTTTTCAAGCAAATATCACACAATAAATTGAATGCAGATAAAAATGACATACCAAACATCAAAGAAATTTGCAAAAAATGTAAGATTGTGCTACTTTGGGTTTAGAAATTTTTTCATAAAAGCATTTATAACAAATGTGGTGAGCTTTTAAAGAATAGTTTAAGTATTTCTGATTTAATTTCTAGTGATAAATAGCAATACATATAACCTACATAAACCAAAGCTCCTTGGGCCCTCATATATTTTTAAGAGTGTAAAGGAGTCCTGATTCCAAAACTTTGAGAGCTGCTGCCTTCTCCTCCACTTTCCTTCCTTTCCTAGAATTTCTTCCTTGGAAGAAACATCCCTTTGCCATTCTATATTAACTTATAGAGTTCCATTGATGTCAGTTTTGCTACATCCCTCCCATCCTTCCACCTTTTGTGTAGACACAAAACCTGACTACAGGACTCGACCAGCCCACCCATTTCCAGTGATCAGCTGTCAAGGTGGGTGAAGCCAAGAAAATCTGGGTTTTCCCTGAGACTAAACTTCTCTTTCTGGGAGATCTGGAATCACAGGGACAAGGTTGGCCACCTTGGGGTAGTCAGAATTTATCTTGCCTAAACGGGGAGAGGTTAGGCAAGTTTCTAGAGAGCCAAACTGCTTTCTAGAAAATTAAAGATAATTATACTTTCTGCCATGACTGTGAGAATGCCCATTTTATTGCACACTTTCTAATATTTTTACCAAACTGATAAATACAAGTTGGTACCTGGAAGAAAAAATGCCAGGCATGGTGGCTCATACCTGTAATCCCAGCACTTTGGGAGGCCAAGGCAGGCAGATCACCTGAGGTCAGGAGTTAAGAGACCAGCCTGGCCAACATGGTGAAACCCCGTCTCTATTAAAAATACAAAAATTAGCTGGGTGTGGTGGCAGGCACCTGTAATCCCAGCTACTGGGGAGGTGGAGGCAGGAGAATCACTTGAACATGGGAGGTGGAGGTTGCAGTGAGCCAAGATCATGCCATTGCACTCCAGTCTGGGCGACAAGAGTGAGACTTCATCTCAGAAAAAAGTTTCCATATAATTTGTTTTGTCTCTAGAAACCAATTCAGCAGTGAGAACTGAAAGCCACCACTTGGAAGGTTTCAAGCATTTAGCTGTACCTATTGATGTCTAAAGCATTAGTTAAGGTAGAAACACACACACACACACACACACACCATGTATTCAGTACCAGGAAACATGACTGACTAGATGGTACAGTTATCCAACAGAAAGCGCACAATAACTGAAGCCACTGTAGAGGAGTAAGTTATGACACAGATCTACAATATTGTTGAGTGAATAAGCAGATTACAAAAAAAAAGTCTGATTTTTCAAGGGAGAGGGAACATATACAAGCATAGGAGAAAAGATGAGCAGATGACTGGAAAAATACAAAATTCTGATAGTGGTACTTTCTGAGTGGTAGAATTATCAGTAATATTTTCTAGTTTTACCTAAAATTTTTCTAAATTTCTTAAGAAGGTTTTGTTGTCCATATTATAAAATATCCACCACCCCAGGAAAGTTAACCTTCAGCACAAACTCTGCAATATGTTAAAAGTTTGTTTAGTTTTATATTTAAGAGACAATCTATTTTGAAAGACATCTAAAATGATGACCAATATTTAAACCTATGCATTAATATTTTTTAATCATATGCTTTAAATTTTGTAATTTTGATAAGGTTAAGCTTCATATCAATCTTGAAAAGGTAAGTTTTCCATTTGTCTTTAAAATATGACCTGCAATATGCCAGTTTTTAAACAGCAAATGGGGCTCAAAAATCGCAATATAAATTCAGGCAGTGTTCCTTACATAGAATGTTTAAGTGCTTCTAACACTGCTCTTTTTCCCCAGTTATGAAAACACATTACAATTATCTAGCATCTAATTATTCAAGTCCTTTGTTTCTCCTCCATTCTATTAGTTTTATAGTAATTTTAAGGCCTTTGAGGATGAAGTTGTCTGTGACGGCTACCACAAAGGTTACTGTAAGTGGACAAATTTCAAACAAGTTTATCACCACTACCATCCCCACTATAAAACTGTCTTAATCAAGGGCAACACATTTCAAGGTTAACCAAGACAACCTCGTTACCGGTCACTGCTTAAGAAAAGGATTTTTTGGTCTTATTTAGAAATAACTTTTTGTATCTATTTTTCTCTATAAATCCACTGAGACCAATGTGTGGCTCTATCTCAAGCACCAGCAAGCTAAACTGCTTGCCAGAATGTTCAGTTTTTGTATCTTTCCAAAGGTAGGACACAGCTCTCTTTTGATATCATAATTTTTTGAAAATTGATGCACAAACAACTTCTTGGAAGTTCAGCCAGGCATGGTGGCTCGCACCTGTAATCCCAGCACTTTAGGAGATTGAGGCAGGTGTATCACGAGGTCAGGAGTTTAAAACCAGTCTGGCCAAGATGGTGAAACCCTGTCTCTACTAAAATTACAAAAATGAGCCAAGTGGTGGCAGATGCCTGTAGTCCCAGCTACTCAGGAGGCTGAGGCAGGAGAATCGCTTGAACCTGGGTGGCGGAGGTTGCAGTGAGATGAGATTGTGCCACTGCACTCCAGCCTGGGTGACAGAGGGAGAATCCGTCTCAAAAATAAATAAATAAATAAATAAATAAATGTAAAAGAAAAGACAAGACAAGAAAGTTCAGACATACAGCAGCTGTAATTCTTCTGAAGGCTGGTTATGGGACGCATTACTTTCATACTTTGTTGTTCAATAAATGTGGGGTGGAGAATAAAGTAAACTGACAGAACTACCATATAAACTAAAATTCTAAGTGCTCTGACAACAAAAGAAACTTAAAAGACACACACACACACACACACACACACACACACACGGTTTTCCCTGCTAATCATTTTACAACTGAACAACCAAGTAGCTAACCCAGAGCCCACAAAAGCAGAGTAAAAATTCTAACACTTGGTGAAATAAAAATGCACATATTCCCCTCTGAGCTAAAAAAAAAAAAATGCTTAGGTCTTCAAAGATAGCAGCAATTATAGCTACTGAGAACATCACTGTAAGCAAACTGAGGCAGAGAAAACAAAGGTGCTGATGAGGAATTGAACCACCTAAGCTGCAGAAACCCACTGGATGGTTTCCTAGGTTCGGAGTTGGCATTATCTTTCAGAATGATTTCTGAAAGAGACACATAATACTGTTACAAAGGATCTGGAGAAAGGGATGCTTGCTTTATCACTCTGGCTCTCCAATCATGCTTTACATTTTCACTTCTTACACTCTCTTTCATATGAAGTCAATTTACAGATTTCCATCAAGCCCTTGGAGATCTTTTTGTACACAAGTTCTTGATGTTATCTCTGCACTTTTGACAAATTCTTAGCAGCTAACTTACAAGGCAGTTAAGATTTTTGTTCAAGTACAATATAGTTAGAATAGGTTCATATACTCAATAAAACAAATATTTACTAAGCATTTATTGAGTGGAAGATAAAAAGCACAAAGCATAATTATAAAATATTTTCCCCTGCCACCATAAAAAAAAAAGTAAAAAGGCTCACAGAATATAGCATAACATGACCAAAGCAAAAATTGCAAGGACTAAAGAGGGGAGGAAGGGAAAATATCAGCATGAACTGAATATGACCCAGAAGAGCCTTGATGGTCAGACATGTAAAGAAAAATTGGGTAGGGTTAAGGGGTGGAGGTCAGGGACACATTCTACAGGGGAAAAACAGCTGACACAGACGCCTGAAAGGAAAAGTGGGCAGAGCACCTGCACAGGACTCTTACCTGCCGCCTCCACGGTACAATGGGCCTTTCCAGAACACAGCAGCGCAGCCAGGCCCCAGGGAGAGGTATCACTCAAACAGCACCAGAGGCTGCATTCCAACTTTTCCTCCGTCAACGACTCCGTTTTCATTGTTAGTTTCTCCTTAAACACAAACTTAAAAACAACTGGCTGAATACGGGGGATCAAGGAAAACCTGACTGAAAAATGAGGCCTTAAAACTTAAGGGCCTTGGGTCCTAGTGCGGTGGCTCCTGCCTGGAATCCCAGCGCTTTGGGAGACAGAGGTGGGTCATTAAAGTCAGGAGTTCGAGACCAGCCTGGCCAACACGGTGAAACCCTGTCTCTATTAAAAACACAAAAGTTAGCCAGGTGTGGTGGTGGGCGCCTGTAATCCCAGCTACTCGGGAGGCTGACGCAGGAGAATCGCTTTAACTACTGAGATCGCGCCACCGCACTCCAGCCTGGGCGACAGAGACTGTCGCCCCCCCCCCCAAAAAAAAAATTCTACCTCTCAAGTAGCTGGGATTAAGGCGCCTGACACCATGCCGGGCTAATTTTTGTATTTTTCAGTAGAGATGGGGTTTCACCATCTTGGCCAGGCTGGTCTCCAACTCCTGACCTCAGATGATCCGCCCGCCGTGGCCTCCCAAAGTGCTGGGATTACGGGCGTGAGCCACCGCGCCCGGTCAAAAAACCTGAAAATCTTAAAGGCCTTTTGCCTTCTGCGCCTGGGCTCAAACGACGCCAGAGCCGCCCTGCCCCGCCCTATCACGGTCCCGGGAGCGGGCCGGCTGACTGAGAGAGACCTTGAGTCCCTAGAGGACTCCTGCCGCGCGGGCTCCCACCTGGGGGAGCGGCGACCGGGGCCAACTCGGGCCGGCAGCCCCCAAGCCAGCCCCGCGTAAGGAGCCGGAGAGACGCGCCCTCTGCCTCCCATCCAAGCCTCGCGCAGTCCCAGGGGCCAGGGCCGGGCTAGTCGCGGGAGAAAGAGGCAGGGAACCGGAGCCTCTCCCGGGCAGGCTCCCCTTTGTCCCGGGACTCCGGGCGCCCCCTCTCCGCCCTCGCCGTGCCCCGCGAGGCCGCTGCCAGGCGCCTCACCCTGATATTGCAGTGGAGCCCTGAGCGGCGGCTGGACTCCTGGTTCTTGTGGAAGATAGAACAGCCAGCAACTTCAGTTTGGCCTTGAACCCTGACACCGACATCTTCCTCTCCTGTCCAGCGGGAGGGGCGCGGAAGGGAGAGCCTGTCGGGGGCAGCTGTCATTGCCGCGACCACCCAGCGACCGAGCTCTGGAGGCTCCGCCTCTCCCAGCCGCCTCGACCTTTGTGGGAGCGCGGATGGAAAACCGCAAGGGGCACAGAGGCCTCCGCGGGAAGCTGTGTGGCGGCCTCGGGGGCTGCTCCCTTTGTAACCAATTCCACCAACAGGAGGGGCGGCTCCTGTCATGCCGCAGCTTAAAAGGGCAACAGCACCACCGTCCCAGCCATCGCCTCTGAAAGGGCTGCCCCCACCCTGCCACCGACCCCGTCACCTCTCACCCCTCACCCCTAACCCCTCAACCGGGCGAGCCCCGCGCGCACGCCTTTCACGAATCCAGAGCGTGAGCGGGCTGCCTGCTGCCCCCTTCTCCCCTTGACCCAGCACCTTTCTGCCCGACCCGTCTGGTCCCTCCCTTCCTCACACTGAAAGCTCAGGGCGGCACGACCACCAACTCGTGTGTGTGTGTGTGTGTGTGTGTGTGTGTGTGTGTGTGTGTGTGTGTGTGTGTGTGTCTCCCAAGGGAACAGAGCACTGCTGAGTTCAGCATGATTTTTAGCTCGTGGACTGTCAGCAAAATACAGTCATAATAAGGTATATGCTGTTTTGTCTTGCAGTGACATCATGTTGCTCATGTTTTATGTTTTTCAGAGTTCATTAGTTTCTATTTGTTCTCAGTTAATATCCAGCTGAATAGATTAAGTAGAATACCCCCAAATTGAAAGTCACTTACATAAGGTCACTTACATAAGGTATAGTGAAAAATATGTCATCCGCTTAAACTATAGTTGAAGATGTGTACACGTTAGTTTTGTGTAGCCAACACTGGATACTGGGTAAGGGCACAGGATCCCGGGGCTAGACTGCCTGGGTTCAAGTTCCAACTTAGCCACTTGCTGGTTGTGAAATACTTGACAGCTTTAAGCCTCAATTTCTTTTTTTTTCTTTAAACGTATTCCCAAATGTGATAGTTTCAGTTTCTTGATCTGAAAAACAGAAATTATTCAATCAGAGTCTACATGAAAACTAAAGTTTTTGAAGCCACTGCCTGGCTCAGGAAAGTCCTCAGCTTTAGCCGTTATTAGCTATGATTATTATTGTGTTGGCTACATGTGCATTAATGAGTCAGGAAAATGCTCAAGGATAACCAAGTATCCAAATTATCTCACCAGACTGAGAGAGATGCATATGTGTGCATGCTCATATTTCAGCTCAGAGCCTTTTGACTAGAAGGTTCTTGAACTCAGAGGCCCAGGCACTATCAACTTGACTTGGCAGTGGAGCCATCACTTTTGTTGATCAATAAAATTGACATAATGCTCTTTTTTTTTCTTTTTTTTTTGCACCAACCATGTGCCTAGAGCTAGCTGTGTCAAGAAGAGCATGCTTCAGTTGGCTGGAGTGAGCAATTCAACTTGTGAGGAATGAGAAATGTTAGAGTTGAGACAAGAAACACAAAACCCCAGGGTAAGGTAGGAATCACTGAAAGTCAGGCAAAGGAACTGGCATCCAGTAATGAGTTAGGCTTTGCCGGAGTCTGGCCCTACAGATGGCTCTTTGGAGAAGAAAAAATTAAGCCAGGCCGGAAGGCACAGATCCTAAGGGAATGCTGGCAGCTCTAGGCTGTCTATGGAAGAGAAGCAGAGGGTGGCACCTGGTTGAAAGAGGGGTCTGGGGGACATAGCTTGATCCTGTGTTTATAGATGGAGTGTGCTGATTCCTGCGACTGGGGAAGGAGATCATGCCCGGATCAGGGGACCTCAAATCAGAACTCTTCCCACCCACACCCCTTCTTTTCAGGGCATCTTTCATTGCAAACAAAAGATAAACTAGTTGGAAAGCTCAGCGGATTCTCACGGTGGTGCCTAGCAGGCCAGGCCTAGGTGCCCTTTAACCTGTGACTGAGGATAATGCCACTGGCCTGTAACCACACATTGGAAAATCTTTAATCCATGGACACGCCATGCCCACAGAGATAGCAGTGCATGGTTCTTCAGGTTTGGGGTGCTGTCCTGGCAGTTGCCTTATAAATATGCAGGATTAAAATGTGAAGCCCTGGAACTTAGCTAACCTTTACCCCCCCCCCCCGCCAACATGAAGGGGCGCTAGTTTTGTTAGCTTTATGAAAGATGGATCTGTCATTGTTTTTAGAACTTTTGGAGAAAGATTTCTTGGGAGGAAGCTATCCTGAACCCCCAGAGATTTTCTCATTTACTGGCATACCAGCTTTAGAGTCCTAGGTCTTCATTCTGGCTCAGCTACCCTCCAGCTGTGTGGCCTTTGAGAAGTTGCTTGACTACACTGAGTCTTGTTGTCACCTATGAGTGGAGGTTGCTACATTGCTACTGTGTGGAGCACCTACCCCCAGGCAGTCTTATAGGGTGATGGTGAAGATTAAATGCAATAGTAAGGCTGAAGGAGGAGGATCACTTGAAGCCGGGAGTTCGAGACTAGCCTAGGCAACAAAGCCAGACATATTTCTACGAAAATGTTTCTTAAAAAATTAGCTGGACTTCGTGGCTTATGCCTGTAGTCCCAGCTACTCGGGAGGCTGAGGTGAGACTACTTGAGCCCAGGAGTTTGAGGCTGCAGTGAGCTGTGATCGTACAACTGTCCAGGCAACAGAGAGAGAACCTATCTCAAATAAATGAATAAATAAATAAATAAAATAATAAAATAATGCATGCAATTAATACATTAGTACATGATCAGGCACATGATAAATGCTCGATAAATGGTAGCCCCAATAAGCTTTGTAATGTTTTGGGAGAGAGTGTCCTTTGGACTCAGCCCAGTGACAGAAGCATTTGAAGAGACTGATGTGTATGATGGCTATTTCCTACAGGTACAAGCCTGAACCTCCAGGGACCCAAGGCATTGGCTCAGTGGGGCACCTTGTTCTATTTACTCTTGGTTTGGTCAGCACTGATTGCCCTAGGGCTGAGCAGGACTGCCACCACAGATTGCCAGGAGTATCCCCCTCCCCAAGCTAGTCATAGGAAAGCCACTTGCATCATAAGACTACAGGAAATCAAAGGGAATAAAAAGCAAAATTTAGTCACCTACTCTCCAGTTGATGGGCAAAAGGTTTTTGTTATTTTGAACAGAGCTGTTAGGAACATCCCTTGTCCACATACCCTGTTTTATATAGGCAAGAATTTCTCTTGGATATAGAGTAGAATTGATGGGCTGGGAGGAGTGTGAATATTTAACCTTATGAGAGGGAGCCAAACTGTTTTCCAAAGTGGTCATACCAGTGTATATTCCCAGCAGCAGTTCTTAAGAGATCTCAGGATCTCTATCTTCTGGTGAGGTCACAAGCAGTCAAAAAGAATGAACGCCAGCTATAAACAACAATAAGAATCTTAGCAATATAATATTAAGTGAAGAAAACAAATTCTAGAAGGATGCATGCAGCATACTTTATATAACTTAGAAAAGAAAATGTGTATATAGGCCAGGCATGGTGGCACATGCCTGTACTCCCGGCACTTTGGGAGGCCAAGGTAGGAGGATTGCTTGAGGCCAGGAGTTCAAGACCAGCCTCAGCAACATAGCAAAACCCTGTCTCTACAAAAACTAGAAAAATTAGCCAGATGTGGTGGTGCAGGCTTGTAGTCCCAGCTACTCATGAGGCTGAGGTGGGAGGATCTCTTGAGTTTAGGTGTTTAAGGTTACAGTGAATCATGATTGCACTGCTGTACTCCAGCCTGGGCAACAGAATGAGATCCTGTCTCTAAATAAATAAATAAATAAATAAATATATAAATAAATAAGTAAAATTTAAAAACAAAATATGGGCCGGGAGCGGTGTCTTACGCCTGTAATCCCAGCACTTTGGGGGGCCAAGATGGGCAGCTCACAAGGTCAGGAGTTCAAGACCAGCCTGATCAACATGGTGAAATGACATCTCTACTAAAAATACAAAAATTAGCTGGGCGTGCTGGTGCACGCCTGTAATCCCAGCTACTTAGGAGGCTGAGGCAGGAGAATGGCATGAACCTGGGGGGGTGGAGCTTGCAGTGAGCTGAGATCATGCCACTGCACTCCAGCCTGGGTGATAGAGTGAGTCTCAAAACAAAACAAAACAAAACAAAACAAAACAACAGCAAAAAAAAAAAAAAAAACAAAAAAAACAAAAAAAACCTCAAAGATCACTAGTGGCTATTACCAGCAACCGTATGTAAAGAAATAGGAAAACCTACTAAAAATGGGTAAATTTCTGGACACATCCAGACTACCAAGATTGAACCAGGATGAAATCCAAAACCTGAACAGATCAATAACAAGTAATGGGATCGAAGCAGTAATAAAAAGTCTCCCAGCAAAGAAAAACCTGGGACCTAATGATTCACTGCTGAATTCTAGCAAACATTTAAAGAAGAACTAATACCAATCTTACCCAAACGATTCCAAAAATAGAGAAAGAGGGAATACTTCCAAACTCATTCTACAAGGCTAGTATTATCCTGATACCAAAACCAAAGATACATCCAAAAAAGAAAACTACAGGCCAGTATCACTGATGAATATTGATGCAAAAATCCTCAACAAAATATTAGCTAATTGAATTCAACAACACATTAAAGTTGGGGTGCAGTGTCCCAGGTTCACCCAACACTTCCCATTTTTCTCGCTGTGTGTGTCTACTTTGCTATGTTCCCTGGTGGCAGCGGGGGTGGCAGTGTTGGTGTGTGGGCCTCCCAGGACAAGGGGAAAGTGAGTATGCCCTTTTCTTGCCTCCTGCCAGGCGTCTGCAGCCTGGCACAAGCTCTGACCAGGTCTTCAAGCAAGGGACCTGGAGATGTTCTTTTCCAATTTATGGGTTGGTAACTTGAGGCAAATTCTAGGCACTAGAGTCACAACTAAGAGGACACTTGAATTAGGGGGAGTCTGGGGTCCTGAGAAGTAGAGTCCTGAAACTGTCTACAGCATGTGGAGAGCTGGGTGTGTGTTCAGGCCAGTTGCTTCTCTCTGTGCCTCAATGTTCCAGGTACCCTGGAGGGGCTGAGATCCTAGGGATTCCTGGAGCCTGGCTGCATGGCCTGGCCACCCTGATGCCCTTGTGTTCTCCATGACAGGACAGCAAGGCCAAGAAGAATGGCTCCAACAGCTTCATGCACTCCATGGACCCACAACTGGAGCAGCAAATGGAAAACACCCAGAACCTGGTGGACTCCTACATGGCCATTTTCAACAAGACTGTATGGGACCTCATGGTTGATGTCATGCCCAAGACCATCATGCACGTCATAATCAACAATGTGCATGCACTGCCCCCTGGGGCCTCCTGTGGCACTGGAGATGCTGGTGGCCATGTTGGCCTGGGGAAGATGCCAACCAGCCCTATGGGACCAGGTTCAGGGAGGGAGGCATGGTCCAGACCAGAGCTGTCTTATAGAAATATAACATGGGACTGAGGTCAGTGGCCCATGCCTGTAATCCCAGCACTTTGGGAGGCCATGGCGGGAGGATAGCTTGAGCCCTGGAGTTCAAGACCAGCCTGGGCAACATAGTGAGACCTGGTCTCTACACAAAAATTTTAAAAATAGCTGGGCTTGGTGGTGGCACGTGCCTATAGTCCTAGCTACTCGACAGGCTGACATTGGAGGTTCACTTTGAGCCCAAGAGATTGAGGCTGCAGTGAGCGGTGATTTCGCCCACTGTACTCCAGCCTAGCAACAGAGCGAGATCCTATTTCCAAAAAAAATCAACAACAACAACAACAAAAACAAAACTAAGTAGACAGGTGTCATGGTGGCATGATAGGTCCAGGGTCCCCTCCCAGATCTGTGACCTTGGACAAGTGACTTTTCCTCTGGACCTCAGTGTCCCTATCTGAGTGAGAAAAGGGCAGTGGGGAGGCAGATCTTTCAGTCCAAGTGGTGTAAAAGCCGCATCTGAAGAGGCATACTCAGGGCACAGTCCCAGCAGGGACCGGCGGGAGGCCAGGGCAGCACAGGCATCAGGTCCCAAACTCCTTCCCTCTTTGCCCACTCTCAGATGGAGGAGTTCATCTTCTCGGAGCTGCTGTCCCACCTGTACTCGCGTGGGGACCAGAACATGCTGATGGAGGAGTCAGCAGAGCAGGCACAGCGGCGCGATGAGATGCTGCACATGCACCATGTGCTGAAGGAGGAGGTCAGCATCATCAACTACGTCAATGCGACCACCATCAGCACACCCACGGGGGCCTGTGGACGACTCCTGGCTGCAGGTGCAGAGCATCCTTGCCAGATGCAGGTACCAGGGCTGGCTCCCACGGCCCCAAAACTCCCCAACCTCCATGGCTGAGCCTGCGGGCTCTGGGAACAGGCTCTGTGCCCAAGCTGGAAGACATGGGTGTTCTCTGGAGCCATCAGAGAGCTCGTGGTTTATGGTGTAAGGGCTGAGAGCTTGGAGAGGCTTGTGTGTGGGGCTGTACTCTGAGGTGGCCAGAGGCCTAGGAATGTCATCCTGGGCACACCGTACTTGTTGTGCAGTCTGAGTCATGCTGCCAGGGGAGGGCATCCAGCTCCCAGCCTGGGAGTGCTGAAAGCCAAATCCACTGCAGAGCAGGGGTGATAGTCAGGGTCTCACCTCTTCTATCTGTCGGCAATTCAGTGGTGATTGAGGATAAAACCTCGAGAGTCCCATACACATGATCAACCCACAACACACCTCACAGGCCAGGCAGGGACACACAGCCCCCTTCTCTCCCTCCCAGGTACCATCATAGCTGCTAGTGTGTGCCTGAAGGCAGGGTCCCTGGCCCCCTCTGATGCACTACCGCCAGCCAGCAGAGTCACGCACCTTGGCCTGTTGCTCCTAGAGGTCGCCTCTGCTATTCAGCCAAGGGGACCACAGTGCCTGCTGGCCCGGCTGAGCTCCGCCCAGCAAGCCCGCCCACCTCCCTTGCCATGGAATCTCCCTCTTCTGCTTTTCCCAGCAGGAAGGGCCCAGCCTCACTTATGCAAACTGCAACCCCCAACAAGCTGAGGCTCCCCTCTTAGACTTATAAGTCTATAGCCAGTGGCATCCGGCTGCCTGCCCTCCCTGCCTTCCCCAGGGTCCTTTCAGAGGGTCCTGGGCTTTCTGACTGCCCAGAGGGGGCTCCAGTGATCACCCCAGCCATCCATCCCTTTTAGCTTCATAGTCCTGGTGCAAGCAGTGTTCCTTCTCTATCAGGCCTTGTGGCTGCTGCGTTGGGCTCCCAAATGCGAGAGGTGGCCCAGGGCCAGTGGGTTGGAAGACAGGGTGACCAGAGAAGAGGGAAACCCGATGGGCTGAGCACTGGTCTGAACGGTGGGTGCACTGCCTGGGTGCTGTGGAAGAGGCCAGCGTGCGTGGGGTGGGGAGGGCCGCTGCAGCTCCCAGGCACTACCTGTGAAGCTCCGGCTCCTCCCTCCATCTTCCTCCCCTCTCCCCTTCAGCCCCTCTTTTCCAGGAAGCTTGCCACACCCGCACCTGCGCCCTCCCCTCCCCAACCCTCCCACAGCTGCTGTGGCACACCTGTGCTCTGCACTTACCTCACCAGCTCTCTGCTCACTTTTCTCTCTCCTGTTTTCTCTCTGCTTTCTCTCCAACTGCCAGCCGATCGGGTCCGGCAAGTCCATCCCATCCTCAGAGCCCAGGCACCTCTTTGACCTCTAAACAGATCCCTCCTCTTCTCAGAAGCCTCCCTTTCCAAGCCTGCCTGAGTGGCTGTTCTGTGACTCGACAGTGGCTCCCCCAGCCCCAAAGCCAGCCCCCTACATCTGTGACTTAGTCTGTTGTAGTGGTGAGCGGACACATCCAGGTGTGACCATTGCTGAAAACTTGTGCCCACTCTGTGGTATGCCCCTGCCCTGGTCTATAAATATCTATAAATACCTATATATATATATACACACACACACACACACACACATCTATATAAATATGTATAAATACCTATAATATAAATATATATATACACACACACACATACACACACACACACACACACACACACACACGTACACCTACATGTGACTGACCATCTCGCCTCTAGTGCTGGGAATCAGTCACCGTGCTGTCCTTTTGGACTCTTGTGGCCCAACAAGAGAAAGCTGTCCCCTGACATTGCCCCTCCAAAGTGCACCACCTCCAGAGAACCTCCCTGTCCTGCCCGACCTATGGACAGCCAGCCCCTGCCATCCCTCCCTGTGCAGGCAGCTGTGTGGCTTGACAGTCTCTACCAGTCCTGCTGTCCCTCGGCTGAGAATCAAACCCATTTCTGGACGACGGGGAAATGTGTCCTCTGCTGACTGCGTTCTCTGTGGAGCTCAGAGGAAGGGAAAGGCCAAGCCATTTCTAGGGTGCTTTTGGGAGCGGTGAAAAGGCCATACCCTTAAGGGACACTTCCTGGAAAGCCCCTGGAGCTTAGCTGGCTCTTATCCTGTGAAGCCGGCTCTGGCCAACAGGGGGCAGGGCCATGAACTCAGCCTGGAGGGAGCCTGTGAGGCAGCCAGCGGACACTCTGGAGGGACAGATGGAACAGGCCACCAGGTGCAGACAGGCGAGGGAGGCGAGGGGATGGAACGGAAGATGCCTGGGGTGGGTGGAGGTCAGTGCCCTTAGGTGCTGGTACCTGTCTTCCCGGCCATGGCTAGATCAGGCTTCTGAGCCTGTTGTCTGTCAGGGCCGGACTGTGCCCCCTAGGCGCCATGGTAGTCCCGGTGAAATCCCCTAGGTGACACCAGGCAGCATACAGGTAACACGCCTGAAAGGTCCACAACAGCCCAGCTGGACATGTTCAGACACTGGGACTCCTCCTTCAGTGGCACAAACTCCAGGACCCAGTGAGGGAAATGGGAACACACCAGGCTGAGCGGTATGACTAAATCCATTTATTCCAAATAAAAAGCAAAGTAAACAGGAGTCGAATCACCAGGGAGCCACAACCCCCTTCCCGCCTCCTTCCTCTGTCCTATGCCAGCAATAAATAAGTTTTCTAGCCACAAATAATTATTAGACCCTCCTCCCCATGTGCCAGCTCCAACCTCTGCTAGGTACGATACAGGGGTGGCTCTACCCTCTGGAATATACAAAACATTACGCAGACACAATATGTACATCGGGGAAGGGGGCCACCCCAGCAGCCTGTGCCCTCACTTGGTCCACAGTTTGCCCCACTGTTCTGCCTCAGCTACCTCTCTGAATAGGAAGATGAGAGACCCCCTGAGGGAAAACTTGCTATGGTGAGAGTAAGGAGGCCATCAGGCTTCCTCCGAACAAACCAACTCCACCAGCCTCTGGCTCTTAAATAACAATCATCATCATTCAGAAATTTAAGGACTCAACCCTGGTCAAGGTGGCAAAGGGTCTGTTTGTCTTTCCCCATTAGACAGAGGTCGTGTGTTGCTACCCTAATTGTAACGGGGTGACTGGGAAGGGGTGGTAGGGACATGGTGGCGGTGGAGACTCCAGCCCCACTTCTCCAGGCTTTGCTGACAGGGGCCTGCTTTTAATTTTTATTTTTATCCCATGACTTTTTCAAAAATCCCGTGACTTCTTTTTCATAACTTTTTTTGTAACTTTTCATAAAACATTTTCTACTTTTTTTGCCACAACTTTTTAACACTTTTTAATCCCATAACTTTTTTACCCCATAACTTTTTTAATCCCATAACTTTTTTGTGTTCTTTTAATAAACACTTGCATAGTTATATTACAGTTTTGCAAAAATGAAAGGGTATCTCATGCCAAACATGGCCAGTGTTTGCTCAATATCAATACGTTTAATACTATAGTTTTCAAGACACACAAAATAAAATTTTTAGGCAAAAACAGCACTTTGCAACAATTTAATAGCTTATTACATTACAGTAGCATCACACCAGCAGTCAATAATGCCACTTTAGGCAAAAGTTTTTCAGTATTTCCATTATACATTCTGTTTACAATAATTCATAAATTGGTAAAATTTATTCTAAGAAAACTTGGCAACTAAAGCTTTGGACTGGAATTGGCACTTCTTTCTCTACTTTTCCTTCCCACCATTTCTTTTAAATTACAGCATTCATATTTTAAAATGTTTCAACTTATTTCAGAACGTTAAGATAGCAGTTACTTTTTAAATAGTTATATATTTTTAAATGACTAAGATAAAGTTTTAGAGAAACTATATTATGGATAGGGCTGATTTACATTTTCAAATTTTCTAAAAATCATCTTTGCTTTTAGAACTATTTTTTTTTCCATTTCTGGAAAACCTCGCAGGTTTAATCAAATACTTTAAAAATAATTATTATATATTGCAATCTTCAAATAGGTGTTTTGATTCTTCCTACAGAAATTCAAATTTATTCTGTTGAACTCACATTTAAAAATTCTATGTTTCTGATAAACTCTAACCTTCCAATGTTGCCTTCTAAGCAAATCAAAAGTGACCTTATACTGAATGAGGTAGAGCACAAATACTTGGCTGAATGAGGTATCACAAAAGACTGCATGCACTTTGAAGAAAGACTTAAGTTATTGTCATACAATTTCCATTGCTTTTAGCTTTCTCTTAAATATACGACAAATGCCTACACAAAGAGTGATATTTCAGTTAATATGGTAAATTTATTTTCCAGACTGACATTCAGCTTAAATATGCCAGTATGTGATTTAATCCATAGGCAGCTGATGAACACATTATTGTCAGATTGGTTACAGATGCTAAATGCTATCTGAAGGTCATTCCTAGTCATTGATATTTATCAGGGTAAAAGTGAAGTGATTTCAATGATAAAAGTACCTTTGAAATAATTTATCAATGTATTGGATAAAGCCAGTTTCAGAATGATAAAGAAAAAACATTAGACCAAATAATATGGCTAATTAACAGTGATACAATTCCAGTCCGAGGGTTTAAAATGGACTTAAAGTAACTGTCTTTAAACTGAACTCAAAGAAGGCAAAAGTGGCAAGTTCAGAAAATAAAAGTCAAGAACAGGACATAGTTCACCCTTCCTAAAGAAGTTTGTGAGGAAATATAACTCTGTGATTGTATAGACATGTTTCCTGATAATACATTGACATTCACAAACAGTAGATTGCACTGCAGTTTGTAAACATTTTAAGTTGCATAAACTTCTCCTTGACTTTCAAAGATAGTATAATACTGTCTATTAAAACTTCTTTTTGTTTTAACTAAGTACTCTCACACATATTAGTTTATAATAATGTTTGTTATTATTTTTTAAAATGTTTTCCACTAAAGGAAAAGAAGTAAATTCCTATGTCAGAGTAACCAAGGTGGTTGAAGAATAAGTATTAGCCAGAGAGATCTAGATGGTAAAATCAATCTTCAAGCCTCAAAGACGCTCCATGAACAGAGAGGAATGCCAGGTGTCACACAGCTTTCCTTCACTCTAATTCATCCTTGACTAGAGTCTGTATACCTGTTCCAGGGACATTAAAACTCTCAGAGGATTTCTTATGATCTTTACTAAATACATTAAGAAGAATGCCAACCAATGCCCTTTTGTGTACTGGGACATGTAGTCATGTGATTAAAACAGGTAACATGAACTCTTTTAAATGTAGATACAAATGCTCTAAGCTAGGAAAGGTTTTCCACATCCACAGTCAATGATGGGAGCCTTTCATTCCTCAGAAATAATCCCTTTTTAGGTCATCAAGAAAGAGTACAACTGCTGCAGCTCATGGTGCAACATCTTCATGAGCCCAGAGCACATACAAATCCTGAGGGAACTACCATAGTACAGCGCTCATTCTTGGTACCGGAACAAATGAAACGCACTCTATCCTGCACACACCTGCCAGAGCAGGCCACTTTCCTCTTCTGTGAGATTTAAAAAGCTCCCCCAAAATGTTATTACTCCCATCATCAATACACAGAAAATGGGGGAAAGGCTGTTTCCAGTTCTCGGCCTTTAAACAACTCTATGTCAGTACTCACAGTGGCATATTACAAAGTAATAAACAGTGCACACTTGAGGGCAAACCACATATTGAGCTAATGAAGGGCTCACTGTGACTAAGAGTAGGTCAAACAATAGCAGAACATAAGCAAATTAAATTCTGTAATGAATATACGTGCTGCAATAACATTAAAAAAGCATGGCAGGCTATTCCAAACCAGCAACAATAGTTTTGTGCAAACAGTGGGTCTTTGTGTGTTTGACCTCCCACCATGTAAGGGCAAACTCGATATGCATGCTAATGACCTAAAATTATGAAATTAAAAAAGAAAAATGCTAAAGGATGCCAGAGTGAACATCAGTGAAAGCCACTGAGACCCACTCTCCTTTAACTTTTTACAAATAAACTTAAACTATAAATTAGAAACACAAATAATCATGAGTGTCTCTAACATTCAAATGAAGTAAATGAATGGTATAGGGAATTAACCCCATAACTTTGTTTCCTTTTGTAAAATTTCTTGACCAGCTCTGATGATGGTGATGTTTATCTCCTTCTTCTCAGCAGCCAAGTCCAGCAAAAGCCCAAGCCTGGGTGCTCCTGGTGGTCCTGCACGATTGGCTGTGAAGTACGGTTGCCATGGGGAGAACCGTCCCTGGCCTCTCCTTGCGCAGGCTCCACGCTGTCGGTGAGGCTCACCTCACAAAGATCTTTGGGGAGAGGGAGGCGGGGATCTGAGCACAGTGCAAGCCTCCCCTGCCCCTGCCTGCCCATCCTGCCTGAGGACTCTACTCACCACCATGCTTGTTGGCAGCCCCAAGCTCCTGGGGGGCTGGGGCTCCTGGACTGGGCTCATCAGCAGGGTTCTGGGCACTGGCCAGGAATTTGCTGTGCTCCTTGTTGTAGTCACCACAAGCCACAGCATCATCTCCTGCAGCTCCAGCAGCTTCACCTGGAGGGAGGGGTCCTCAGCTGTCATGCTGCTGCCGGTGCCCACCCTCACGCCCACCCTCAACCCCCAACCCCGCAGAGATGTTGCACACCCTACCTTCATCTCCTTGCTGTCCTGGGCCAGCCTGATGAAGTCCTCCTCCCCGTGCCGCATCTTTGGCACTACCCCCTGGCTCTATTATAAGGTGATGAACTTTCCTGTGGGAGGACAGGGCTCAGACGCTGAGACCCCTCTGATGGCCCTGCAGCTCCCCCTGCTATGCCCTGGCCTCCTGCTCACTGATGGCGTCTGTCTTTCCAGTACTGGATGAATCAAAGTTCTTGTTTCTCCCCCAGCTCACTCAGGTCCGTCTTCTCCTCCAGGAGGTCCATAAAGCCGCTCTGGAGCCAAAATAATGGTGTCACATCTTGGCAGCGACCTGCCCCACCCCTGCCTTTCTTGGACCATGCCAGGACTCACTCACCTCCAGCTTCTCCATGACCTCCTGCAGGGCCTGGTGGGTCTCCCCACTCACAGACTCGCCTCCAGTCACTGGGGCTGGGATCACTGCGTCTGGCTCCTGTTGGGCAGAGGCCACCAGGTGAGCCAGGCGCTGGCAGCACACTCTGTGCTCTTTCACCTGCTCTCGGAACTGTGCCTGCTCCTCCTGGGCACTGGCTCCAGCGGACTTGAAAAATGCCACCTGAGGGCAAGAGGTGAGCATTCTTGTAGGGGCATACACAGAACAAACGGGCAGAGAGGTGGAGTGCAGCCCCTTCCCTTGGGGCCTCAGAGAGTGCACCTGTTGGTCACAGGTGAAATGGTGTCTGACCACTGGCTCCCAGAAGGGTTGAGGGTCCAGAGAAATCAGAAGGCAGGGAAACCAAGAGCATAAAGGGGTCTTAGAGGGACCACACAGGAAGGTGGCAAAATCGGTGCAGGGGGAGTCAGGCTCACCATGGCCTCCCAGCTCTCCAGGTCCTCCGGGACGGTCGGCATGGGCTGAGGTGCCTCCTCCTCCTCACTGTCCAGATGTCCTCCTCCATCTCCGGTGGGGGGTGGCCAAAAGGGTCCTCAGACAACCTAACAAGGGAGGTACTGTGGGCCCACCTCTACCTCCACCATCACTGTATAACCCTGAGCCAGCCCCTACCCAGAGAGGAATAAGCTGCTGTTCTTTACTTTTACTTCAAAGAACAAAGATCTTGCTATACTGCCCAGGAACAGTCCCACTACTGGTTGGTGTGGGAGTTCTGACCTGCTCCCTTTCTGACCTGGGCCAGTTCAGCCACCCTTAGGCAACTTGGTGGACCCCGCTCCCAGGTGGTCACCATATTGATGCCAAACTTAGTGCAGGCACCGGGTCAGCATAATGACCAGCTGTTCTAAAGGTCTTTTCCAACTCCTCAATCCTATGCTGCTAACAGTCCCCCCTTCCTCCTGGGCTCTCTTCTCTTCCTCTGAGCAATCTCCCATGCCTTCCTCCAGGGAGAGCCCTCATGAGGCTCAACTGGGCCTTTAGCTGCTGGTTCTGCAGCCTAGCAGCTTCCAGATGCTCCTAAGGGCCCAGGAAAGAGTGAGAAGGCACGGAGTTTGCCAGGTCATCCCCCTCACTGCTCGTCCTCAGCAGCTCCCTGCCCTGGGTGTCCTGCAACTTTTGGCAGGCCGTCTCAGCCACCACTTTGCCCCAAGCTTCCTGCTGCTGCAGGTAGTTCATTAGCTGGGTCTGCTGCAGTAACTGCTTGTGCAGTGCCTCCTTCTCAGTGGTCAGCTGCTGATAGGCGGCCACCTGCTGCTGTTAGGTGGCCACATACTGCTGCAGGTGACCCAGGTAATGGTCTGGCTGCTGCTGCTGCAGACTCTGAGCCTCTTGGCTCTTCAGCTCCACCTGCAGGAAGACCCTGGGCATGAGGGCATGTGGTGGCTGGCTTCCAGATTCTGGGCCCATTAATAGGGTAGTGAGGACCCTGGGGCTCTATCGCCTGCCCAGGCCCCTGGCCCCTTGCTCCAGGCCTAAGTGACGGCCTCCCTTTCCTAGAACCCCATGCCTCCTTCCCCAGCCTCGAATCTCATACCCTCTTCTCACCATTTAAACTGTAGGCCACAGACTGGTGGAAAAGCAGTGGGAGCCAATCACCATCTGCTAAGTGTGCTACATCCCTAGTGTTTGCCATGTATTATGTCATTTAATCCTCAACCCTTCTGTAAGGAGAATGCTAACTTCCTTTTGAAGTTAAAGAAACAGAGACTTAGAGATGCAAAGTACTTGAATGGTGACCAGTGGAACCAAGGCTGGAATCCAGTTTTAATCTAAGGAGTCTTTCTGTTTTGTTTGGAGACAGAGTGTCACTCTGTGGCCCAGGCTGGAGTGCAGTGGTGCAATCTCAGCTCACTGCAACCTCCACCTCCTGGGCTCAGGTGATTCTCTTGCCTCAGCCTCCTGAGTAGGTGGGATTACAGGCATGCACCACTACCACCGGGTATTTTTTCTTTGTAATTTTAGTAGAGATGAGGTTTTACCAGGTTGGCCTGGCTGATCTCAAACTCCCGACCTCAAGTGATTCTTCTGCCTCAGCCTCCCAAAGTGCTGGGATTATAGGCACGAGCAACCGTGTCTGGCATAAGGAGCCTCTTATACCACTGTCTCTTCCCCTGTGACTGGGGGCTCCATGCCTCTAGCTGGGATGATGATGTCCAGACCTGGGAGGAGCCCAGGGCTACCCACCTCTAAAAGTCAGAAGGCAGGAAGCAAGAAACAGTCACAGGACTGCCCTCAAGGGTGCTGGCGTCACCTGCCCCCAGGCTGGAGCTGCCTCTGGCCTGGCACCTCCCCTCCCCAGAGGCTGGCGCTTGCTTCCCAGCCCTTCTTGGATGGGGCAGAGGTTACCGTTTCCTTCACCTCACCCAGCTTGTCCTGCAGCTCCTTTACCTGCTGCTCCAACTGCAGTGCGCTCTTGTTCTCATTGTTCTGGACAGACAGAAGCAATCAGCAGCTACCCACTGCAGCTGGAGAACCAAGAACTTGGTGTCTGCCTCCCATGGCACCGGGAAGGGTGGAGGCAGGTTAGAAAAATCATTTCCTCTCTCCCACAACCACCAGAGCAGAGCTCTGGCTCACAGGTGCCTTTAGAAGTAACATTTCACATGAGGGCTACACTGCCCCATTTTACAGGTGGGGAAACAAAGGCCTGGAGGGGTAGGGAGGAGGGCAAGCTCCCCAGGTGGGGCAACGCACCAGCTCCTCGAAGCCACTCTGTGGCTCGGCCAGCTGCTGAAGCCTCTTCTCCTGCTCCTGAAACCTCTCTTTTTGCCACCAGTTCAGGACACTCATGCACTGATTGTTTTCCAACTGGGCTTGGAGTTCTCCTGCCATTCTCTCCAGTTGCTTCCTGAGGTTCTGCAGCTCCACCTCGGAGGGCACTGCTGGGGGATCTGGGAGCAGGGGTTCAGCTGAGAAAGGAAGCAGACAATAAGGGACTCTGGACTCCCCCCTGCCAAAAAAAAAAACCCTCCTCTTGGTGCATAGCTCCTCTCAGGCTCCCCAAACTTGGACTCACTGCAAATGTTTCCCTGCACCCAGATGGTAGCCAATCTTCCAAGCCACTTTCAGATAGAGAGCACTGTGGGTGGCTGACACTGGGCCCTCTTTGCTGATGGGGACATTGAGGCTCATGGAGATGACAAGACTTGCCATCCCCTGGCACAGAACTCTTTCCCTCTGCCTCAAAGCCCTTCCATCCACCCACATCCCTGGGGCACTCTAAGCCACCCCCAGGGCCCTCTGATGACAGGCCTGCTCCTAGGTCATTCCAGCCCCATCTTAGCCCTCTGGTTTTTGAGTTTGGACAAGCTCCTCTCCCGCTTCTCTACCGGACATGTATCATACTTCTTCTCCTTCTTCAATGTGCAAACCTGCCCAAAGCACAGTGGAAAATGGCCCTGGAGAGAGGGGCTGGTGGCTGGACAGACTACCATCTCCCTCTCTGCCCCCACCTCCACAAAACCCAGACCCATGACCACCTCCGGCTGTACTATTCCCACTTTACAGATGCCCAGAAAGATCCAGTGACCTATCTAAGGTGGAGGGTGGGGGGCTGAAGAGTCAGATCTCACCTCCTGTGACATTTTCCTCATCCTCTGCTGCCACTGCTCTCCTTTTATATGTTGAGCATATTCATCTCTCTCTAGCTGGACTTGTTTAAGCGACTCCTTCAACTGCAAGAATGGGCAGAGAAGTTAAGAAGGGCTGTCACTGGTCCTCACCTGCTCCTCACCATCTGGGGTTATCTTCCTTCCACATCCCTCCCTCTGCAAAACCTCACCCATGTCAGGTGTGCTTTCAACCATGCCTTCTCCTGTATGGACTGCTCTAACTGCCACTCAATAAGTGCTTTACTGAGGCTCGAGAACTGGATGGTGAAGAGTGAGAAGTTTCGATCTGGGGAGCCTGGGCCATTCCACACACTGCCCCCTAAAAAGGGCTAGGGCTAGGCTCAATATACAACTTGGTCAGTAAAGATCAAGACATTTCCAAGCCCATGGTCTGGTTTTTAAAAGAACTCAGTCAAGTTGGAAGGGACAGGGAAAGAGATCGAATTTACAGCTGGCTAACGGAGGCCCAGAGAGATCAGATAATATTGCTATTGTTATTACTGTTATTATTACCACTGTTTGAACCTTTATGGAGTGCTTCACCAGGTACCATGCTAGCAATCCCATTTAATCCTTGCAACCAACATAGGAGACAGTTACTATGGTTACCTCTATTGTGTAGATGAAAAAAACATGGAGTATTTGAGGTTAAGTGCTTGTCTAAGATCACTTAGGCAGAGCTGGGATTTGAACACCCAGGTCTATCTGATTCTCTAAGCCCATTTTTCTTGCTGGAGGTGGTGGCACAGATAGGAAGGGGAAGATTAATCTTTTGTCCACTTTTTGAAAGGATGATACCTTCCCATAGCCCAAAACTCAGAAGGTACAGAAGGGAAGTATCTCCCAGCCACACTGTTGCTCTCTCCTGAATTTTTTATGAACCCTTGCAGACATGTGTTATGTATATTATCATAGTGTGTACACACACACACACATACACACACACACATTTCCTCTCTCTACAGAAATAGTAACATATTAAAGATACTCTTCTGTACTTTTGCAGTACAAGTACCCAATACCCCATCTAGGACTTGGCCAAGACCACAGCCAGGTAAGAGCTTGGCCTCCAAGCTCTGCGTCCAGTGCTCAGTCCCCACAGTGCCCCTCAACTCACCCATAGCAGCTGAATCAGCCCCAGGCTGTCTCTAACAACCACACACAAAAGCAGTGGGAAAAGGCCATGCTGCGTTCTGGGCAGGACACTCCATCCTGCAAAAGGGAGCTTTAGGCTCACTCCTCCATCTGTGAAGCCAGGCTCTCAGGGGACAGGGCAAATGGTTGAACTCACACTGATCTCCTTCTTCTCCTGTGTGGTGGTGACAGCAGAGAGCCTGCTCTAACTCTGCTATACGCTGCAATGAATGTTGCAGGCGGCCGGCCACATCCTTGGACTCATCTGTAATGAGAGAGTTGAGATGGGGCCCAAAGGACTCCGGCTAAAGACATGTCAAAGTACCAGGTTGAAGGATGACAGGGTGCCCAGATTCCTACCTTCATAGTATCTGAGAGAACGTTTCATGTGATATGGGTCTGTATTTAGTTTCCCTTTCTGTGTGTTCAATCTCTGGATTTGAACCTTTGGGAGAAAAGCCAAGCAAGTGCTGAAAAAGAAGGAAAGAAACATTCTCCGGAGGACAGGAGGGAACTGCACAGCCTCCACTCACCTCTAGCTCCCTTTTGGCTTTGTTTCTCATTGTTTGATTTCTTTTCCTATAGGAAGAGGAAGACAGAGCTCTTACCAGGGGGAGGCAGAGATGGCACAGCAAGAGACAGGCCCCCAGAATGCCACCAATGCCCCAGGACAGGCCCACCCATGGAACCAGGTTATCAGGGACCCTGTGGGGATGGGGTGGAATCTGAGCCTTCTTCCCCAGGCTGGGAGTGGGTGATACAAGACTGGGGCCTCTACATCTGAGTGCCCCCCAAACCCAGCTGTCATGTCGCAAGGAAACAAAGAAATCACGTTACTACTTCCAGCTGATGTCCCACTTGTTTCTTCTGTTGTTTCTTTGGGGAGAGTCAAATTAAGGTGACGGATGGTGGCCCCCTCAGCTCTATTCCCCAGACCAGGAAGAGTAGGCAGGGGCCAGCAATGGATTTTAAAGGCAAAGTTCTCAGACATAATGGGAACACGAACTAGTAAACTCTCCTGAAACTCCCAAGGACAGAGGATTTGGGTCTTTGTTGGTTTTTGCCCACAGCCATAGAACTCAGTCTGAATCTGGAATCTCTTGAGAGGAGAGTAACATAAGCCTCTAGAGATGGAGTTTGAGAAAGGCCGCCCCTTCTGCCAGCTTGTGATTTAGAAAAGTGCGTTCATTAATAAACATTTACTGAGCATGTACGGACCAGGTACGGTTCTTCACAGCACATATAGGATGGAAAAGGACAGACAGGAGCCCTTGGTGCTGAGATTTCCATTGAAGGGGGCCTTTAAATCTCAGGCTCTGAGAGTTAACAGAGACCTTTGATACTCACTACCTCCTCTGGAAACACGAACCCAAAAAGGAGAGGTGGCTTGTCCAGAATCAAACAGCAAATTAGGGACCAAGTCACAGCAGAAATATGGGGCCCCTGACAACCAGTCAGGCCAGCACTTCCCCGAGAGGCAAAAACCCCAGGGTGTGTGTAGCAAGGACTGGAGCAGGGGTATCTGGAGAGGAAAGAGTCGGCAAAGAGGACAGTAAAAGAGAGCCGTGCTGCATGCTCTGGGGTCCCTCCAGGTGAGGCCTGGGTGCCCCAGTTCCCATTTTGTACTTGGAACCAGGGTCCCCCAACCCCTTTCTTCGGGACCCCAAGGGGAAACGAGCCCAGGATTGGCAGTGTGGAATCAGGGGACCCCACTGTATTCTTACCAAAGATTTGATGGTGTTATTCAGTTAACTGATTTTTACGGACCTCGAGCCCAGGACTACTGCTAGTTCTTGGCACAGGCTCTGAGGCACATGCAGCGAGGAGAAGGTGGAGGAGGAGTGGGGGGAGAGATAGAGAGAACAATCATTAGGGCTGGGGTGTGTGTGGGCTGTCTCAGCTGGCAGAGGGACACCCAGTCCCCGCTGTGGGAGGAGGCTGGAGGGCTGGCCTGCAGGGTCACTGCACCTCCACCCAGAGCCACTTACCTCCAGATCCTTCAGGGAAGCAGATGATGTAGGGCCCTCCCCGTGGATACCTCTTGCTGACTGCAAGAGATGAGAGTGCACATGGAGATGTTCTGTCCCCCTCAATGTCTAAGCCCTCTGACTTCCTTTCTTCCCCATCAACTGGCAACATTTTCTTTTCTGCCTATCTTGGGCCCTTTGTCCCATAACTCTTTTGTGCAAACTTCTCTCATGGTTCTTATCTCCCACCATCCCACCCTGGGACCCTTTCAGTGAGTCCTGATGGCAAGTGGCTGTTCTCATTGTCCTGGCTTCCCCTTGAGACTGGGCATGGGGAAAATCAAAGAGCAATGACCATATCCTGGGTGTCCTGGGTGTTTACAGCAGGCCATGTACTAGGAATTAACATAAAACAACAATAACAAATCTCATTTAAACTTCACAAATGGAAGTAAAAAAATACCACCTCTATTATACAGATGTAAAAAGAGAGACCCAAAGAGTTCAAGCAACTTTCCCTAAATCATATCCCTAGCAGTCGGAGAGGCAGGAATCAAACCCAGAATTCCTTTTTTTTTTTTTTGTTAAGATAGAGTCTTGCTTTTTCTCCCAGGCTGGAATGTGGTGGCGCAATCTCGGCTCACTGCAAGCTCCACCTCCCGGGTTCACGTCATTCTCCTGCCTCAGCCTCCTGAGTAGCTGGGACTACAGGTGCCCACCACCACGCCCAGCTAACTTTTTTTTGTATTTTTTAGTAGAGAAGGGGTTTCACCTTGTTAGCCAGGATGGTCTCTATCTCCTGACCTCATGATCCTCCTGCCTCAGTCTCCCAAAGTCGTGGCATTACAGGCGTGGCCGATCGTGCCCAGCCAAACCCAGAATCCTTAACCAGTACCCAACAGTCCATCCACAATCTTAACAATTACCCTGTACTGCCCCTTGGGCCCCCTGTCCCCAGAAGTCTGGCCAGCCAAGACTCCATTCCCAGGTGAGTGGCAACCACCAGAAGTGGCTGTCTCAGGGCTACTGCCATTTGTTTCCTGTTCCTCTTTGCTCCTGCTGGAACACCAGGGTTGTTTCTCTGCCAATATTCTTTTAACTGTGGGAAAGAAGAGCAGTAATACTCTTGAGAACTATCAGCCCCTACGGCCACATCTTCCTTTACAGTTTTTATAAAATACTCTTATATACCACCTGATTTAATGATACCAACAACTGTACAAGGTGTTGTCACAATCATTTAGTGACCGAGAGGGATTGGTATCATGGCTAGAAAAAAACAAAAAAGAAAAAGGTGATAGTGAAACTTTGAAACTCAAGTCTTCTGACTCTAAGCTCTGGGGTTTTGCCAAGAATCAGCAGCTGCCAGGGACCAAAACCAGAGGCAGAGGCAGAAAAGTAAACATTAAGTGGCATGAATTGTATGTCATGTGGTTTAGAGCCATACATCCTCACATGTCTGTTAGTGTGGAGAATTGTGACAGTACCTCTCAAACTTTTATATCAATGTGTCCTCATGGCAGAAGGAAGCCTTTCTGTTAAATCTGGGAATTTATCAGAAAGAAGACAACCCAAACCTCATTTCAGAGAGAAGTCTGGTATACGCTTAGAAACCTATGTGACTGTCATCCCTAAATACCTTAATGTTTTTTCTCTTGATCTCACGAGAATCAAGGGAAACTGATGCTTCAGAAAGATGTCCCACATTTATCCTGTGGCACTCAGAGTACCCCAGGTTCAGATAATATGAGGAAGATTCAAGCTGTCAAGTTCAGTTTCCCAAGATCTATTCCACAGAAGATGAGCAAATCTCACTTCAGAGACCACTGAATGAAGGGCAGTTTGGTCCCAGAACCATGGAGAATTAGAATATGAGGTGGAGAACTCAGAAAAAAATAGAAGTAGAAGCCTGGAAAGTAAAAGCCTGGGAGAAAAACCAAACCAAACCCATCCCCCATTGCCACCCAGAGACACTGTTAATGTTTTGCACTCACGGGGGAAGTGTAGGCTTTCCCCATTGTCAGTGTCTATGTGAAGGGAGTAAGGCAGCCTGAAACCTCTTGCTCCTGGGTCCCATAGTCTCCATTCCCCTTCCAGCTGGAAATTTGTGCTGTGACCAGAGGAACCAGAAATGGGGTGACAACGCTTAGGGGACTGGATTGTAAGATCAAAGGCTGGTCTTGCAGTAATGACAGTTCCTAGGCAGATTGTGACCTCATTACATTCCACTCCTCCTGGTCGGGGGTAGGGACCACATCAGCACGATGTCCGAATTGCCACTCTACGATGGGGGAGGGAAACACCAGGTTGGGACCCAGGTCCTTGGAGATGCCAGTGCAAAGAGCCCAGGGAGGTCGACCTTGAGGCAGCAGGAGTGGAAGGCAGAGTCTGCAGCAGGGAGCCCCAGGAGTCACCAGCCCAAAGTCTCCCAGGGACAACTGGCCAGAGTGGGGCCTGGGGCTGCGGGACCCAGGTCCTTGGAGACGTGAGCCCAAAGAGCCCAGGGAGGTCGAGTTTGGGGCAGCAGGAGGTGAGGGCCCAGTAATGGAGCAGGAAGCCCCAGGAGTCACCCACCCAAAGTCACCATAGAGTGATTCGCGAGCTCAGGGACTGGGCTGCTTGCTGAAGGGTGGGGCTGACTGACAAGACTTTGGTGGGGGGATCCCAGAGGCGCCCGGGTTGGGGGGCTCAGTCCGGTGTGCCTCAGGAGTGGTATGGATCCTGGCAGTCTGGTCGTCAGAGGGGATCTGTGGCTGGGTTGGGGGGCCATGACCTGGTGCATTTTTACCTTTTCCTTTGCTGCAGCCAATCTGCTCTTTCGAGTTTCTTCTGCCACCGCTGGGTGGAGAGGGAGGCAGGGTTGGGGCCACGTCAGTGAAATCCCAGTGAGCACTGATCAACACCTCCAGTCGCCTAACAGGCAGCTGTGGGACTGAGCCAGGGGAGGCGTAACCAGGGCCCCAGTAGAATGCAGAATAGGGGCGTGGCCTTAATGCTCCAAGCCCATTGATCAATGAGAAAGATGAAAGGAAAGGGGGCGTGGCCAGGCAACAGTGTGTCCAGAGGGACCTGTGGCTCACAAGGAAAGCTACCCATGCAACCGCTGTCCCCGCCCACTCTGGGAGAGGGGAAGGGCCAGCTTTTGCTTTAAAACCTTTAAAATTTAAAAAAATTTATGTATGTATACTTTCTCTCTATATATGTGTGTCTCTGTGTGTGTATCTATGTGTGCCTCCAGAACTGTCTTCATTACCCAGCTTCTATGCAAGGTCTATGATTTTGGCCTATATTTTTCATCTTCAAATACAGCACAAAAATTACCAGTATTACCTTAACTGAGATACAGATCCTATAAAAATGGAAAATCCATAGCATGCTTGATGATTAATGGAGTAGACTATATTATCTAACATTCTAATAAGACAAAGTAATCACAATGATTTCTCTTTTTTAGAAAAATGTTTCTCTTATTCTCCTAGGTTATTGTTAAGATTTTTTTTTCTTAAACAAGAAATATGTCTAATATCTGTAAAAACACAAAGCTTTTGGGCCAGATGTGGTGACTCATGCCTGTAATCCCAGCATTTTGCAAGCCTAAGGCAGGTGGATCACCTGAGGTCAGGAGTTTGAGACCAGCCTGGCCAACATGGTGAAATCCTGTCTCTACTAAAAATACAAAACTACCCAGGCATGGTGGTGGGTGTCTGTAATCCCAGCTATTCAGGAAGCTGAGGCAGGAGAATCACTTGAACCTGGGACATGGAGGTTGCAGTGAGCCAAGGTCATGCCACTGCACTCCAGTCTGGGAGACAGCGTGAGACTCCATCTCAAAATAAATAAAATAAAATACAAAATAAATTTTAAAAGCTTTCAATTTAATAAGCACTCAAAGCTCTTTACTGGTTTAAAACAAATACAAGGCCCGTTTTTCTAGCATCACCTGGCCTCTCTAAGCCTTGCAAATGAAACTAAATTTCTCACTTGATACTTGGCTATGACTTGCAATCATGAAAACTAAGAATTGTGTTATGTCACTGTGTACTGCTTGTTACTTGAATTTCACACAAAGCTGGGATCAAGGGTTGAATCTCTCATGATTTGCTGTGTGCTTCTTATCCCAGACCAAACTAAGCTTTTGTCTAGAGTTCTACAATTTACAGTTAGTAGACAAGAGTGGTTCTCAGTAATGTAGTCTCTGGACTAGCAGCACCAGAAGCACCTGAGAACTTTTTAGTGCAAATTCTCAGGCCCTACCCTGGACCTGGTGAATCAGAAACTCTGGAGTAGGGCTCAGCAATCTGTGCTGCAGTCATCCCTCCAGGTATTTAAGAACCTCTGCCATACAGCAGGTAGAAAAATGTGTTTCCTTCTGTAGGTCCAAAGCCAAGGCTACTATATGTTCTATCTCGATATGAAACAATGACATGCAATTAAAACACATAACTCTCCTTCCTACTCACACCCTCCATCCAATGTGTTTTATTTTTATGAGTTCAATAAGAAAACAAGTGGCAATCAGAAGTTTAGTCTAAAAAGTATATTTACAAGTATTAGTTCTCATCCAGCCTGATCTCATACAAGACTATTTACATCCTCTTATAGCTAAAGTTTTATAAAATTATCTTCACAATGTAAGTCTCAGGCACACTAGGAGTTCTATAATAAAATACCAAGTAGATAAGAATGTCCAAACTTACTAGAGAAGAAAAGTGGAATTATTGGCTGTATTTCTAAATTGCATTCAAAAGAAAATTAAGTTCTGACATTTTTTCACCTTCATACTTCCAAGTTAATAGAATTCATCCAGAACACTCCATTCCTTCAAAGCCTCTAGCCAGGCAAAGTTTTACTGTATTACTTCTTGCTTTCAATGGATATAAAGCAGAGTCCTGGTAGGCACATTTTGTATACCTGCAAAGGTGCAGAACTAAACTGTTCCATCTGTTCCATGTCAAAACAAAAGTCCTGTAAACCTTGGATGGTGAGTGTAATGCTTCAGCACTAGCACCAAAGCCTCAAGCATGAAAAGATACCAAGAACACCACTAGCAAACAAAACTAAACTCTCGGCTGGGAGCAGTAGTTCAAACCTGTAATCCCAGGACTTTGACAAGCCAAGGTGGGAGAATTACTTGAAGTCAGGAGTTCAAGACTAGCCTGGGCAGCATAGTGAATTCACATCTCCACAAAAAAATTTAAAAAATAGCTGGGCGTGGTTGCACACACCTGTAGTCCTAGTTACTTATCAGGCTGAGGTAGGAAAATTGCTTCTGCCTAGGAGTTTGAGGCTGCAGTAGCTATGATTATGGCACTGAACTCCAGTCTGGGTGACAGAGCAAGACCTAGATAATGACATTCTCTCCTGCTCCTGTTTACACGAAAATCACTAAGTTAAAATGCTTTCAAATTTGGCAGGATAAAAATTAAGTGAAATGTGACTTTGGAGTTTGGAATGTGAAGGAAGGAAGAAAGGAAGGAAGGAAGGAGGAGAGGGAGGGAGGGAGGGAAGGAAGGAAGGAAGGGGAAAAGGAAAAGGAAAAGAAAGGAAGTAGGAAGCAAGAAAGGAAAAGGAAAGAAAGGAAGGAAAGGAAGGAAAAAAGGAAGGAAAGAAAGAAGAAAAGAAAGGAAAGGAAAGGAAAAGAAAGGAAAGGAAAAAAGGAAAGGAAAGGGAAGGAAAGAGAAGGGAAGGAAGAAAGAAAAGAAAAAATAAAATGAAATAACAAATATTGGGAAAAAGTTTTTGAAACCTCAATGACAAAAGGTTTGTATCCTTAGCCTATAAAGAAATCTTTAAAATTACTTAGAAAAAAAAAACCAAATGATTTTCAGCAGAAAATGCGCAATGGAGAAACAGGCACTTCTCACAAAAATAAAAATGGCCCATAGATATATAAAAAAGATTCAAAGCACTAGAAATCAAAGAAATGTCATGAAAACACTGATATTTTCTGTATAAAGGCAGCAAAGGTGAAAAATGGAAGGGGGAACCTGGAGCTCTGTCCCTCTTGGTGGGAATATAAACTGAGCCACTTTTCCTGGAGGATAATTTGAAAATTTCTATTAAAGACTCTAAAAATTATTACCCTCCAGAAATTCTACTTCTGTGAATTCAGTCCAAAAATGCTTGCTCGAGTCCATTAAAATATATATATAAGAAAATTCACCTCTGGGGTGACAATGATTAACTTAATATACATCCAGCTATTAAAAATGATGATGCCAGGATATATTTACTGCCACAGAAATATGCCCAAAATATAGTAAGTGACAAAAGACTATCTATTATGATTCCACTTTTTAAAATGTTTACATGCATAAAAAAGTATACAAAGCAACAAACCAGAATGTTTTGAGTGACAAATTAAAGATTTTTCATAATATTTGTCATCCAAATTATTATAAAAAGAATGTGATTTCATTTATAATCAGGGAGAAGTGTTATTTTCATTTATTTATATTTAAATCTCTTTTCTTTTTCTTATTTTTTCTCCCATATGTATCCCATGTAGGCTAGAATCCCTGTCTCTTGAGGGAAATCAGTCCATTTTTGGGAAGTGCACTACATAAAGCTGCTCCATCTTCCTTTCATTTTCAGAGATCTGGAGACATTTTTATTTCAAATTGTTTTATTGTTCTCAGAATATATATTTTTAAATATATGAAACTGAGGAAAAGACAAAGGAAAGGCTGACTCCCTACCCTTCTAGGGGTACTCTTCCAATATTTGCTGCTATTGTTATGTATTAATATTCACTGGGTACTAAAAAGATGGGCAGCCCCTTAGATCCTTTTTTCTTATCTCTTTCTCATAATCCTACTTCATTCCTTCATTCACTTATTTTTAAATGGGTCATGTGTACAAATACAAAGTTCAGAAAATTTGTAAATCTAACTATAAAAGTATGTGGCAAAATTCCATTCACAGTCTTATTCTCCTTCCACAGCCAAACACTTTTAATTGGTTTCTTACATATCTTTTCAGAATTTATCTTTGCAAATACACATGTATATTCTTATTCTACTCTTCTCTCTCAACACAAAAAGTAGCATACCATACATACGATACCATTCCTTCTCCCTTTTAAAAAACACACACTATAGGTTCAAGTTCTTCTGCATGACTACAGAGGTCTTTCTCATTCTTCTTTTCAGCTGCAGAGTATGCATCGTTTGGATGTACCACCCTTTACTTAACCAGTTCCCAGTTGGCGGACTCTGAAATCGTC